TACCTCCCACACTGTGCTCTGTTGCCGTGCTGTTTTCATGACCTAGCTGCCTCTGGAAGGCCTCAAAGTTGATGGATGCATCATCCTCAGATGGGCTGTGCGACAGCTGTCCACTGCCATGCCGGCAGACTTCAAAACGTACCCACTGGTAGCTAAAGAGAGGGGAGGGCACACCACAGGGGTGGGTCGCAGGCACACAGAGCTACGGCAAAAGGCTGGCAAACAGGCACCGCACTTACTGCCCGCATTTGCGTGCTCCTGGGCAGCTCTGGATCAGGTTCTGGATGGTGGGGTGGGAATATCCAAAGAATTCAGCCCCCGACGGCTGGATGGGGGACAGAGGTTTGCCACTGAGGGAGAGATGGGGGTGCAAACAACATTTAAAGAACCCTCTGTTAGATATGAGTTGAGAAAAATCAAGGAACTTCATTGTCACAGGACTAAAGTTACTATTTCTTACTCATTCCTAAAACAATACGGTCTGGCCTACACACATCCAGCAACGGTACCTTATGGCTGTGATTGCCTTCAGAAGGTTGGCGTGGCAAGTTTGGGCAGAGGAGGCGACGATGGAATTCTGGGGGTCCTCCTCAGGAACGATCTCAAACTGGAACGGAGAGTTTTAGTCACATCTCCATGCATGTACGGATATATTAAAGGTTTTCCAGTCATTCCGAAAAATAAATCAAAACTGCAGACCAGCTTCTGAAAGTTCTAGGGACTTCAAGTGAGGAGATTTTCTGCTTTCAAATTAGTCTGCAGCTCAGCATGTGAATGTGAGAGCCTGGGGTTACCTGGGGTCCTGCCCCCCCGTCCTTGATCTGACAAGTGTACAGGCACTGCTGCTCTGGGCTCTTCATGCTGGCAAACACACGTGTGCTGCAGAAGCCCACTGGGTAGATGGCGCTCTCGTCATGGAAGTGAGGCCTGTCGGTGATGATCTGGAACATGGACCCAGACCCAACAGCAACATCATGCTTTTGTGTCCCAGTTACAATCAAAACAATCAAAATCAAAGACTTAAACACAGTACAGTTATGCTTTACAATGGAATATCCATAACCCAAATTTCCTTCTCAAAGTCTTTTAATAATGTGAAAATTACAGCACCTTCAAAAACCCTCAGAAGCACAATAAGCCTGGTTTCTGTAGCCGAATGCTAAGAGCAGTAGATGCGGGTCGAGCCCCTGCGACACTGACCTCCCCCAGACTGTAAACCGTCAGCCCTCCCAGCACAATGGGGAAGACTGGGCGCCCACAGGAGTCCAAGGCGATGGGTTGGACCAGCCGACGGACCCCTCCTTCCAGAACTTTCTTTTTCTTCGACACCTTTTTCAGGACTGAAGAAGCACACACAGTCTCACTATTTGAAGGCTGCATGGAGCAGTAATTCAGCTGCCATGCTTCATGTCCACATCAGTGCACAGATACTATTCATTTTCATATGCAGATATTTCTCAGATACTTTCGTATGATTTTCACTGGTCTTAATCAGGGATAATCACAAAGAGACCACACAGTTAATAAAGACGGCATGCTGGATATAGCGGTAATACTGTTCAAGTTCAGCAACACTGAGTAACCTGAGCAACGAATATAGAATGGAATAGAAGAGGACAGGCATACTTCATTAATCCCCATGTGGAAACACTCTTTTCGCCTACCCAATCTTGCTCTCCATGAGACTCAGTCAGGTGAGAGCAAGCTTGGGGGGCAGCGCCCCAGGAGCCGGGGGTTAAGGGCCTTGCTCTAGGGCCTACAGACATGCAACTATTCTGCCGGGGCTGGGGATTCAACAAGAGACATTCCCATTATTCCCAAAACAGCCCCTTAACCAAGACAGTAGGCATGAGAAACACAAAAATCTGATTAAACTGCCTGTCCCTGATCTCTGATACCATACTACTGGGTCGGCATGTTTCTGTTCAGAACAGCATCATACACACCATCCTCTCTTCCATTCTCTCTGCCTCGCTCCTTCCGTTCCTTCTTAGGCTTTTTAGGGAGGCCCTCATCTGTCCCAGAGCTGCTGGGCCCCAGGCAGAGCCCCCCTGTCAGGAGAGGGAGCCCAGCAGAGCTGGCGCTGAAGGCCGCAGTGGCGTTACAGGTGGCACTGGGCGTGGAGAGCAGCTCCCCCTCTGGCAGAGACTGGTACTGAAGAAGAGTCTTCAACAGAAACCTGTCAGCAAAGGTATAGATTTTATATAAGCAATTTCCTGCTATTATAGTGAACATTTCACAGGACAAATGAAAAATAACAACCCTAAGAACGACTACGCTGCGTAAGAAGTTTCTAATAAATTTAGGCTTAATTTAATTAAGCCTAAATTATACAGAACAACATACTGGGTTTCTACAAGCCTTTGACACAATGAATGACAATGAGTTCAACTTTATTTAAACTGGCCTGATGATGCACAAATGAACACCAGTCTGTTGGAGCTTTAAAGTCAGACACCCTAAATTAAAGCACAGAGCCGACATCGAGCGCACCTTTTGTTGCATTAATCTGTTTACTCAGCCTTTGAGACCCACAGGCTGGGTTTACATGGTCTTACACTACCCACCGACTTTAAATGCTGGCTTCCACAACAGCACTTTACAGTACGTGTATCGCTAGTAACAATCACGGGTTTAGAAACCACGTTATAACGGAGAAGACGGTGACACTGGAACTAACGCACGGTCCTACCTTCGTTCCTCTTTAGCTCTGAGAAACTTTTCCTCCAGATGAGCAACTTCATCACAGAGAGCAACATTCTCCTGTGGGTCAGAGTTCAGAGCATTTCAAGGTCATTTAGAAACCTCCTATGAGGGCATTTCTGACATCCAATGTCAAGGTGAAACGTAACATGTTTGCACCATCCAGCCAGAGCGATGCAGCATGACCCCTATAAATGCCACAGTACTTCAACCCCACGTACAAATATCATGGCGCGGGCAGCTTTACGCAGCCTAAGGTACTTCAGCCGGTATTTTTCATTCTGAGTCTTGCGCTGGACCTTCCTGGCTTTTGGCCTGGGCTCCGCGAGACCCGGCGGAGAGGGAAAGGGGGGCAGCGAGGTCCCGGAGCTGGAGCTGGAGAAGGTGGCCTGGGCGGGGGGGCCCAGGAAAGTCTGGCTGGAGAATGAACGCGAAACCTGCTGCCTCTCTTCATCGCTCTGTGCACAGCGGGAGGGAAAGCGCCTCACATCAGAGAGCTCCCATACACACAATTTTCCAATGGGGTGATTGTTGAAATAACATTAATAATTCCCGAAAAAATATGAAAATATGAAACAAAAACTTGAATGGTTTTAGCACAAACATGACCAAAACAAATTAAATAAATGTAAAAATCTACAAGGACTAAACCTTTGTCATGGAAAATCATGTTACACTGACCAGAGCATGACCACTGAGTCAGTCCCCCCTCCCAGGCCAGACATTACAGACACCACCGGAAAAGCTTAAAATACACAAAGAAGTTCCTTATTCATCTGTCTCCGTTAGGGTTTTTCCTGCCAGTCCTTCAACTGGGAACTTACCAGCAGTGCAAAGACTCCATTTCTGTTCTCAATCCTCTTGAAGCGCCTGCTCCCTTTCTGAGTCTGTAATATAGTTGGACACTGAGGCCGAGGGTGACGGTCCCTAAGCCAGGCGCCCAGCCCAGGTCTCAGTGAGGCCGAGGGCGACGGTCCCTAAGCCAGGCTCCCCAGCCCTGGTTTGAGTGAGGCTAAGGGTGACGGTCCCTAAGCCAGGCTCCCCAGCCCTGGTTTGAGTGAGACCGAGGGTGACGGTCCCTAAGCCGGGCCGCCCAGCCCTGGTTTGAGTGAGGCCGAGGGTGACGGTCCCTAAGCCGGGCCGCCCAGCCCTGGTTAAGTGAGGCAGAGGGTGACGGTCCCTAAGCCAGGCTCCCCAGCCCTGGTCTCACTGAGGCCGAGGGTGACGGTCCCTAAGCCAGGCTCCCCAGCCCTGGTCTCACTGAGGCCGATGGTGACTGTCCCTAAGCCGGGCTCCCCAGCCCTGGTCTCACTGAGGCCGATGGTGACTGTCCTTAAGCCGGGCCATCCAGCCCTGGTCTCACTGAGGCCGATGGTGACAGTCCCTAAGCCGGGCTCCCCAGCCCTGGTCTCACTGAGGCCGAGGGTGACAGTCCCTAAGCCGGGTTCCCCAGCCCTGGTCTCACTGAGGCCGATGGTGACGGTCTCAAAGCCAGGCTCCCCAGCCCTGGTCTCACTGAGGCAGAGGGTGACGGTCCTTAAGCCGGGCCATCCAGCCCTGGTCTCAGTGAGGCTGAGAATGAGGGTCCCTTAGCTGGGTTGCCCAGCCCTGGTCCCAACGAGCATTACCCTCAGCCCCCCTCCCCCTCCTGATTTCAGGGATTCGTCAAGCACAGATTAACATGTGCTCTCTAAAACATGCAGGGATTTTGGCCTCAAGGAGCAGGCCCAGGTACTGCTCCCTGCCCTACCACTGGATCATCATCTCACTGCTCCTGTTGAGACTGAACTTCTCAAAACTGCCATGTAAGCTCCAGTAGGGCAAATACAACAGCTGCTCACCCCTCAGCAAGGATAATGCATTTCAGCTCATATCCAAAATAACTAAACGAAATCAACAAAATCAAATGGAAAAAATGAATGGAAAATGAGCTAACAGAACAAACATATATGTTCGATAAAAAAGTGACAGTTTTTCAAAGAGAAGTTACGAATACTGCATTGTGTGCAGATGAAGGGTCACAATGTATCAGATTCATAAATCTGCCCAACGTGGCTGCGTCTGACACACTGTCTTACCTCGCGATACATCACAGCTTCCAGACTTGACTTGGCACTACAAAGAAGACAGGGTGGAGAACAATGGACTGCGGTTAAAATGTTTGCTATAACACAGTCACCCTGGGCATTCCAGGTCAGGTATTCAGTCAAATCTGCATGCTGTATTTGCTCTCACTTTGACTGCACCAGGCCCCTATCAATAATTCTCTGCTTGATTTCTTTAATGTGCATCGGCCGGCCTGCCTCCTCAAGGACAATCTGAAAGTGTGAGAAAACGAAACTTGACATTCATCCCACTAAATCAAGGATCCATGTGCATCATCAGAGTTTATTTAAACCGCACACGCTCTACGTCACATTAAAACCTGAACCCAAAAGGCATTAAACTGACCTGGGCAGCATCAAGCCATGTGAGATTTGGCTTGTCAGCAACATCACTTGGTGGTTCACTGAGAAGAAACAAACACAAGATTAGTCCTGTAGAAGTAGAACTTTCTTTCCTTTTTACCAATCCTCAATGACCAGGGTCAAGAAATTTTATGGAAGGCGTTTTAATTACCACTTAAATATTAAATACTTAAAGGCTAATCTTAGCTTAAAGACTGCAGAACAACAGTTCTCAGTGGCCACCTGTCTCAATATCCTTACCTGTGAAACTAAACACACCAATAACAAAATAAATGACAGCGACTGAAAGAAACGTGCACTGTCGCACTCACGTTTCCAGGCTCTCTGAGGCGCCGGATAGACTTGCGATGTTGTCCAAGGCTGGAAAGAGCGAGTAGTTGCCCTGCCCGTCCGGCTCCATCTCCGTGTCGAAGTTGGACAGAGTGTTCAGAGGGTCCATCGGGGATAGGGGAGCGCTCGGGGTCTGGCTGCTGCTTGCGGGGGTCTGGGCGGCAGAGTGTTATAACAGCGCGTTATGACGGACGGCCGGCCGGCATCACAGGACGCGTTTCTATTTCGGCTCTGGGCCGTCTCTCAGAAAGTGGCTAACCGACGATCTACACGTTTTTTGGCAAAATATCTGATGAAGTACAAAAGGAAGACAATCACAATATTGCCTCTGGTTGTGAATCTTAAGAAATACAACCCCGGAACGTTTTCCCTTCTTGAGTGACAAACCTAGCTGGTTTAATTCTTGTTTTCCCAAATGTTCTGACCTTATGTATAAGTATTTGCTTACAACATATATATATAGCAGTTTATCAGAAAGCACCCGACAATAACGGCATGAGCTCGGCGAGCTGGCTACCTCAGCCCTGTCGATTCGCGGCCTGGGCGGCTCCTTTCCGTGAATCATCGGCGATTCCTGCAGCTCTTCGCCAGTGTCCATTGCATTGTTCAGTGATTTACGTACAAACTGGGTTTCAAAAACAGCCCAGTGTTTTAAAGTAGCGTTTATCTTGTTAAAGAAGAAAAAAATGCCAGTGCAACATCAAACCTAATCTTTTGTTTTCGTATCTCCTAGCGGAACCCAAGTGTGTTGTCGGGGGAATTGTTTCAAGGAGACACCGTGTGGGCTGGCTGTAACATTTCCGAGTATGTGCGCATTTACGTTACTTCTTTATTAATCCAGTCGTCCATATGTGATTTCACTATGAGTAGGCAAAAAAGACATAAGTACATTTTAAGATACAGTTTGTTTATTTATAAAGTCGGTTTTGGGGGGAAAAGCCACAAAAGAAAGTCAAGTGTCCCTACTTAACACGCAACGTTAATGAAAATACATGAATTTCAGGCAGACAGTTTCTGGACAATGCTAACAGTAACTCCACGGGTTTTCAATGGTGAGAACATTGTGAGCAAAATACCTAAACCTGTTGATCTTCGTGTGCTTGCAGAGATTAAATAAATGTATGAAGTAGGTTTTCTTCTGTAATTACGAATGAGACAGCACTCGCTGCTTTTTAGCGTATGGAATCTGAGTATTCGTCACGGTGTGCATGGACCCTATCTCATTTGAAGCAGGGGAGACCCTGGAAGTGATGGATGGATATCCTGCAGCCATATTTTACATCCATTTTGTTGCTCTGCTGATACAGATGAACAGATTATCCAATGGGAATGCTCCTCACTTAAATTCTTATTGGACAATCTTGACTTCTATCTTAAATTAACCCAGCTAGCTGAGATGTCCTGCTTTGAGGAACACCTCTCTAATTGTACTATGATTACCCCATATGTTACTTTGATTGAGAGATTCACAAGGACAGGAAACTTGAAGTTTTTTTTTCTCTTCCACTTTGGTTTCTGTGGTACCCTTGCATGTTACATCTTAACCACTTGAGTCTGGTAGTGTGTATGTATACCTGTGCTCTTTTAACTTATCTCTCCAAGATGATTATGATGACACTATATATATATATATAATGTACAAACACTCAGTTGTGAACTGGGCAGATAAGCAGTAACCTGGACTTTGTTTCAGTACTGTAATACGTAAGCTTCTTTATTATTCATGCTTTTAAGCAGATTACAGGAATTCTCTGTTTCTGTTTGCTGTGCTCTCTTTTAATCTGTGGTTCACAAATATACCTCAGATGTTCACTTACACAGATTCATTTTGTAGATCTAATTTCTTATTGATAAAAACAGCATGGTTAGAGAAACTGAAACTTTTAAGTAACTACTTTGTTGTTTTCCAGTTTTGAAGTGTGTCACAGAAGATGAACTAGATAACTAGACTGAAAAACTGTTAAACATGAAAAGTTATTTACATTTTCTACTAATACGTTGTTCATAGTGTCATAAATCCAACATTGTGCACTCCTTGGTATTCTCTGTAAATATTTGTACATTGGCACATTTATTTAGTGATTGTTCACAGCTGAAGGCCAGTGCTCTGATGTGGTCAGTCCTGGAGGCTGGGCTGTGAGCCCCGTATGTTACGCCTGTGAATAGCGGCCCCCACCCCATTGTGTCTGGGGCTCTTCAGCGCAGCACCTTGCATTTCAATAGTCCTTTTATTTCCATATTGTTAGTTATTTGTATTTGTAAATATGCTGTTGGACTACAACATGGAAATAATGTTTACAATGATGCAGGCAAACTCATGTGAGAGAAAGTTTTCACTGAGCAAACTGTGTGTTTTGGCATCCTCTGCCATCTTCCACTTAACGACATTTTGAACAACCTTTTATTTCTCCTCAAATAAACACAAACACATTTCACATTTGAAGGGGAAGCATGAAGCAGTTTGGGGACAGGGGCTGTTTTTAACTGGTCAGTAGTGAGAAAAAGTTAGGAAGGAACTGGCGGCTTCCTGTTCTCTCCACAGGTCACACGCTGGACTTTCAGCCAGAACATAAACACTGCTCACTCCCTCTGTGAGCTGCTGTTGAACCTCTGGATGTTTTTGCCTCTTGGCCCCAACTACACTGTATAAGGGCATAGAGTTCTAGAAAGGTAAAAATAGTACAGGCGTCCATTAGCAATGTGTAACATATGTCATAGTGTCATATGTCAAATGTCTGAGGCAAATAAATTCTGCTCTTTTAAGTATCCTACTTACTCTAGTTTTAAAATGAGGGCAAAAATTGAAAATAATCTCAAAAGGTTCCAGTATGCTGCACCATCACATAAAAAAACATACATAGTAATCGCAGACAGAATTACATTTTTTTATTATTTTGGACAGAACCACATTGTCCACAAGCCAGCTGGTTAAACTGAAAAAGTATGTCAGCTTGAAGTTGAGATGGCATGCAAACTCTATACTTTCTAATAAAATAAGTGGACTTACAGGTGTTCACTTTTACATTGCTTAGGCATTTGTGGAAATGTAGTATCGTTTGTTACCAATCATAAATTCGCCCATATAGGACAGTCTAAAAAATGTTATTAATCTGTTAAAAATTTACCGCGCTCTCCACATTTCTGGATGGAGGAGGTAAGGTGATCTCTGTGTATATAAGATGTGGTTCATCCAAAACTGGTGAAGAGGGAGAGAAGGTTCAGTTTAGAGTTAGACATGAACAGAACGACAAACTATTTTCTCCAAACAGACCTACTAACTTTCCCTGTGCTCCTGAAGTCTCTTTCTCTTCTTTTCCGGCACGGCATAGATTGCTACTTGAAAAAGAGCACAGATCATATTAAAATGCTCAGTGGAATCCCTGCAAATCTAACAACAGCAAAGCAAACCAAGACTGTGTTCAAGTGTTCCATCGTACCTTGAGGCATGACGGATTCCTCCGAGACAGGTGGTCGACTGAGAAGATGGAAAGCAAGTCATAAGATGTCATTCGGATTAAAAGCCGGAAGGAGCGGGTTGCCTATGGGCACAACACCTCCCTGCCCTGTGCTTTCTGCTAACTCACAGAAGGTGGAGAAGGCTAGCAAATCAAATGCAATAGCACTGCAGCCTTGCAGGCGGAAGGAAACTTCAGTGAGTCTGGTCAGGAACCACTTTGTCTGTCACACAAGGCACATGTGCTTGTATCTTCTGAACAGTGAGTCGCAACATCAAATTTATTGTGCATTCAGCTAACAAAAGCTGTATTAGTGCAAAATTTGAGAAGTCACACTGTCACCGTCTAAATATGTCATGACAACTATGTCAAACGTTTCCCAAGGTTTTTTGATTGTTAGTTATATTTACATTCTTATTAGCAAACCTTGTTGTTTGTTGCCATATGTACTACATCTTCTAAACATATAATCTAGTTTTTATCATGAGCAATTTGTATGGGTTTTTCTCCACAATTGTCCTTTCTGTCTATTTATACTTTACGTATGTGTATAAGTAGCACCAGAGAATGTTATTTCGCATCACTGTGCACAGTGCACTAAATATGGTTTGTGTGACAATGATGCCTCACTTGACTGAACTTAACCTGGTTGTGAAAATGCAGCACATTGAAACCTCTGGGTTACCATCTCAGAAGTAGAAGAGTTTGCTTGGGCTTACCTGTGTGGGCAAGGAGCTGTGAACAGACACAAAGGCAACATGAGGTTTCACACAGATGTTAGCAATGTATTCGTTCTCATTTGCTTTTGATGTAACATGGATCGCTTCTACAAGAGTGGGTGTCTAGTTATAATATACGTGAAATGGCATTTGTCTTGCTTTGGAGAATAGCTAGGCAGCTAGCTGACTGACTGACAGACAGATAGACAAACAGACAGATAGATAGATAGATGCGATCATCTTTACTTCCAGGTGCCTTTTTCTTCATCCTCCATGCCACAAAGACGACAGCTACAAGAAGGACTACAAAGACACTGGCCAAGCTGTAGAGAGGATCAAGCCTTCCTAGAAATCGTAGGATAATACAGATTAATAGCAAATGGTTTTCTGGCTTGGTGATTTCCTGTTGTTTACAGTTAAATACAAGATCTTTGGGCACTGACGCCATTTGCATTATTACATTAAACACTTTATTATTCATAATACTACTTTAGAAAAGGTGCAACGGAGGGCTACGAGAATGATTCCTGGTCTTAGAGGAATGTCTTATGAGGAGAGGTTAGCTGAGCTGAATCTGTTTAGACTCGAGCAAAGGAGACTAAGGGGGGACATGATCCAGATCTATAAGATTCTAACGGGTCTGGATGCTGTTCAGCCAAATGGCTATTTCAATATTAGTTTAAATACTAGAACTCGTGGCCATAAGTGGAAATTAGCGGGAGAACATTTCAAAACAAATCTGAGGAAGCACTTCTTTAGACAGCATGTAGTTAGAGTATGGAATAGTCTTCCTGCTAGTGTAGCGAAAGCTAAAACCCTGGGTTCCTTTAAATCAGAGCTAGATAAGATTTTAACAACTCTGAGCTATTAGTTAAGTTCTCCCCAAACGAGCTTGATGGGCTGAATGGCCTCCTCTCGTTTGTAAAATTGTTCTTATGTTCTTATTGGATAACATCAAGCTATTACATGCACTTGAAAAAATTGGTCACACTTTACTTGAGGGGACATGAATAATGTGGTAGTACATGCATACTTAATGCATTAATTAGTATGTTTGTTACATACTAATCCCATGCTTCTTCATCATTAATCAATCATGACAGTTCATGTATTCCATTCAGGCACTACTCAATTAGTTAACAATTAACTAATTAGTTAATAATGGTAAGACCACTGGAGGGGGTAAAAAATACTAACCCATTTACTAACAAATCATGAATTAATACAAGTTTCCTCATGAAATACATGATCTGTTAATCTGTTATCTCATTACTCAAACCCATATCATGCAAGTAATTTCATGCAAATACTTTCAGTATTCAATATCCATTTCAATTTCCTTGCAAGACCTAATTCTTCAGTTAAGAAATAAGCCTGTGACGGAAATTGTTTCAGACAATTTAGAAGTTTCAGTCATTGTATTATATACTGTATTTCTTAAATGCAGTGTATCTTGATATAAAACCTCAATTTATTTTTTCCAGAAATTCTATTTCCTATTCCTTCCTCCACAAAGGGCTTTAATCAAAAGTGAATATTGTTGCTAAATTTAAGTATAATGACAATGCTTCTCCGTGAACAAGCACGCATACCTAATGAACTGCCCACTTAGTATGTTTAACTATGTTAAATTAGTATTTGCACCTTAAATGAAATAACTTGAGTCAGCTGAAAGTACTTACTAGTCCAGGTCCTCTCTGACACCTGTAAGTGCATGCTGGTATTCTCCTCTCCATACTGGTTACATACCACACAAATGTAAAGCCCCTCATCTTTCTTCTGCACATTAGCTATGAGTAGCTCGTCTCCTCCGTGCGACTCTGATAAATTTCCCCATAGCCACCTAATTTCAGGCATGGGGTTCCCTTCAGCAGCACAGACAAAGGTCACAGAAGAGCCTGTTTCGGCCCACACTGAGCCATTGCTCACAGGAGCTGAGGAGGTCACGGTCACAGAGCTGGGTCCATCTGTGAAGAAAGGCAGAGAACAGCATGCAGCACAACCCCATGGGCTTGTTGTCATCCTTACAAATATCACACACTATTTTAAGTAGCTAACTGATTGCACTCTTTCTCCTCTGATCATGTAAACTGCATGCATTTATTGTCACAAAGAGAAATTACTGGGGAACTAACTTTCAATTGGGTTCAACTTTTTGAGGTACTAGAAACTACAGCCCCTGATATTTTTCTTAGGGGCAGAAGACTCACAGCTGACATTGAGAGTGATGGCTGAGCTGTTCTTCACAGGCCAGTCCAGGGAAGAAACCTGACAGAGACACTCTGTATTATGGTCTTCCTGCACAAGATTGAACCTGTACTGGCTCTGCAGACTGAAAGTGCCAGTACTGTCACGCTGGATTTTAGTGTGAATCGTACTGGCAGGTGGCGGAAGGCCCCTGTGGAGCCAGAACACTGAGACATTCTGAGGGTAGAATCCAGAAGCGTTGCAGATCAGTTCAACGAGATGTCCAGACAACAGGAGAGGAGGCTGCAGGATTTCTACTGAGGGTGCAGCTAGAAAACAGGTAATTATTAAATCATTCAGGGTGATGAAAACATTGTAGTTATCATTGATTTCTGTCTAAATATGTCCCTAATTAGGTTTTCATACCAAAATAACAAAAATATGACTAATTTACTGGTTGCAGTAAAGATAACACATATCATATAAACAGACAAATCATACAAATCACATTTATTAAATGAGCAATTTATAAAGCAAGTTCCTTACCATAAAGGGAAATTTTAGTCCCAGAGCCTGTGAATGTCTTTGTCTCTTCAACCCTTAATATTTTAATCTCACAGTAATACATACCTTCATCATTAAGACTGGTTTGATTTATTTTTTGAGTAAGCTCACAAAGACAAATAGTTTCTTGGGTGATATGTGGCCTGCATTTTAAATTTGCACTCCCATTAACTTTATTCTCAGAGATTGATTTGTAGAATCGCCCAAATCTTTCTGCATTCAGCTTCTTAGTGAGGTTGAATTGACAGGATAGAGTGACTGGCTGCCCGATCTGAGCTGTCATTTCAGCCGGCTGATATACTGCATTGCTCTGCTTTGCTGTGTCCCCTGAAATAACAAATGTGTTTATAAATGAACATTAATGAAGTAATGCAGTGACAGAAAAGTACTTTCATACCATGACTTCACATTACATTATACTTGGGTGCGGTTGGCTAACTTTAAACAAAAACCATAAGCTTTTTACGTAATAAGGAAATGTTTAAAAAATAAAATCTGATGTTGCAGAATTGTTTCAAGCCTTTGCAGTCCCATTCACGTCACTGTCATATTTCACCGTTTCAACAGCTTATCTTGGTCAGATCACTGGGCCATATGATTCGCAAGATAATTACATGATTCTCAGCTGCTAATCCTGTTGTAACAGTTGAATGGCAGCCGTGCTCTTCTCTGTCATTATTCTAACATGTAAACTGCATGATTATTTTTCAAAGTAAGGAGTTCCAGTGTAGCATCCGGAGAATGTTTATATAGAAATCATATTTGATGTGAACACATTTAAAAAGATTATGTGATGTGTATGTGAAATTATTAATAAAACAAGGACAAATATTACACAACAGAAAATGCAATATTCTTTGCATTTTCTGAACTGTACTGTGTGTGTTTAGTGATTTTTATACAACAGATAGTATGCAGGCATGTTCCATTTTACTTTGGTGAAATCCAACAGCCTAACTGACATTCTCCATGAATTGTCCCTGTAACCCGGTACTGGATAAATGGATTGATGGATATATCCATGGGCGTCAATTATGGGGGGTGGGGTGGGGATTGTAACCCCCCCCTAATAATCAAAACCAGCCAATACAACCCCCTTATGTGGGTGGAGACCTCAACCCCCACAAAGCTCAACCTAGAGTTATGCCCTTGGATATATCAAATTAAAAACTTAATTTCAAGTACTGAGCGTAAGACAGCGGTTACAGAGCCACGCACGAGAGACGTTTCTAGCAGTTTAAAACTTACAATTGAATCAAGAACAAAATGCTATTATTTTACCACCATTATGATTATCATTATTAATTATTATACTGCAAGTTTGCTTTCTCCACAAATATAATTTAAAAATACCTGAGTTAGCAGTTTCCTTAAGAAAAATATAGCATATGAAATAGTGGAGAATATTTACTTTTGGTTGTCACAATCAAAAATCAATAGTGGGGGAGGGTGATATTCAGAATAATACATTTAATACAATATTTGACTTCTCCAGAGAGAACAATTTACGTAAGTTTTTTATAACATATCACTTTATGGACGACAGCAGACATTTGACCTCAGAATCAGATTAGTTTGAGAAATATGAGA